TATCCCACCACCTGTCATCATTGCGGAGACTGAGGAGCTCATTAGGGATTATGCATCGTTGCAGACAACACGTTCGACGTTACCATAGAGAAGTCGGCTACTGGCTTCGGATTCAGCATCCGCACGGACGAGCAGAGACGGGTCGTCCGCATCAAGCGTCTGTTCCCGGGCACGCCGGCCGATGCGACAGGGAAGCTGCGAGTCGGCGACATTATCCTGTCCGTAGAGGGCATCGGGCTCGGAGGCATGTCGCACAACGTAGGTGGCGCCACGTATCGCAGTAATGCGCGTCGATGCAACAGACCCCAGATGAGCCCAGTCGCTCTGCGGCTCTTGTATCGTGTATTCATCTCCCTTTTCATATTTCCTTTTTTTTTTTCTCCTGTTTTTTTCCTTTCGTTTCTTCTCTCTTGACGCTCGCCTCCTTTTGCTATCGCTTCCTTCGCTCTCGGCCCTCTCCCCCTTCTTCCTCCTTCGACCATCTCATCTTCCTCCTACTACTCTTTCTTCTACCCTCTCCCCCTCCTCCGATACCACCGCGCATCGTCACATTCCTCTTCTCTTCTGATCGACGCCCCTAACCTCCACATTCTGCCACCAGGAGGCGCTGAACATCCTGCGCGCACGCAGCGCGATCACGCTGACGATCGTTCGTCCGGACGACGACTCCGCCGCCTTCCCCATCACCGACTCCTTCCTGGAGAGCTCCGGGAATTCCGCCGGGATGTCGGGATCTCTCCTGGACGTCTCCCAGCCACCAGGGGGCGCCGACAACAACGGCTGTGCGGACGGACTGCACTGCGGCGAGAGCGAGCGGGCAGACGGTTGCCACGGCAACCAGGACGGTTACCGTAGCGACAAGGAGTCTGATGAGGATAGTGTTGACTCGGGGAAGCAGGTGCGAGTTCCGATATCCCTGTCTGACCTCATAGATGCACGCAGTTGCCAATATCCCTGGCAAACCTCATAGACGAACAAAGTTACTATTATCCCTGACAAATCTCATAGATATACATAGTGCCCAGTATCCCTTTCTAACCTCCTACCTTTACATAGTGCCCAACATCCCCATCCAACTCCCTACCCAACATTAACGGCGGAAGCTCGAAAACGCCACACTGCGTTTTCCGTTGCGCATAACACCAGATGGCGTCATTGCAGCAGCAGCCGCCGGCGATGCGTATGACGGCGGGCACCAGGGGGAGCTACGGGTCGCTGGGTTCGGACTCGGACGAGGGAGGCGACGGGAAAGAGAGGAAGGGCGTGCAGCGCGCGGTGAAGGAGAGACTGCGGATGCTGGAGAAGGCCGGAGCGGTGTTCAAGCGAAGCATGTACGGAAAGAACCGCGTCAGCAACAAACACCTGCCCGCAGGCTCGTCAGATGTTTTACAGACAGGTAAGATAGCACACCTGTACACACCTGTACACTCAGGCAGGTGAGATAGCACACACACCTGTACACACCTGTACACTCAGACAGGTGAGATAGCACCCACACACCTGTACACACCTGTACACTGAGACAGGTGAGATAGCACACACACACCTGTACACACCTGTACACTGAGACAGGTGAGATAGCACACACACCTGTACACACCTATACACTGAGACAGGTGAGATAGCACACACACACACCTGTACACACCTGTACACTGAGACAGGTGAGATAGCACACACACACACCTGTACACACCTGTACACTCAGACAGGTGAGACTCTTCCCTCGTTAACTCCTCTCTCATCTCGTTAACCCCGTCTTCATTAACAAGTTCTCGCTGCTTGCAGAGGGAGAGAGCTTCAACTCCACGTCGTCGTCACGCGCCGTCGTCTACGCCGTCGCCCCCGGCAACGCGAGCCCGCCGACCGATGCCAGGGGGAGCCACGCATCGCCGGACAGCGATGCCAGCACGGACGAGCCGTATACGCCCGAGGTATGTATGTTAGCGCGGGGGGCGAGGGGCGGGGTGGGGCGGGGAGGGGGTGGGGTTTTTACGGAACGCTTTCCTGCAGTAAATTAAATTTTAATCGATAATTAATTGGATAAATAATTTAGTAATTTTATAATTAATTTACTAATTTGATTGAGTATTATTTTAATTGATTAAACGTTGGTCATCGATTAAATGTTACCTGCGCGGTTCGAGACTCGGTTGTGTTACCGTCACTCTCTCGATTTACTCTGTTTCGCACGCTTTATGAGAAGGAGTTGTTGCAAGTTTATGAGAAGGAGAGCACTTCTTAATTGTCCCACATCTCAACAAACAGACAAAGAAATCCTAGATTATAGATTCCTTCTTCTCCATCTAGTTTCTATGCGATGTTTTCGTTGTTTTGTGTGAGAATCTAAAATCTTTGCGCGATTCATGTGCGTTTAAATTTGGAAGTTTGATGATAATTTTTTGTTTTGTCCCGCATTTCAACAGCGATATTCCGTCGAGATTCTATGCGATGAAGTCGTTGTCTTGTGCGATAATCTAATAGTAAGAACAGGGTTGCCAACATTGGGTGATAGGTGAGAGTGAGATGCGAAGGAGTGAAGCGACCGAGGGGAGGTGGGTGTGGGAGGGGGTTTCCCCCCTGCCACGGTAGGGAGCTTTTGCATTTTATAACTTCAATTTGTGCAATTTGGTGCATACTAAAGTGACTGTTTTCAGATATTGTAAGATTTTTTTTGCTGTGCGTGAGTTATTTCAGCGTTTTATTCGTGAAGAGATATTCATGCGTGAGATATCTCAGCATTGTTTTGCTGTGCGTGAGATATTGTAAGATCAGCGTGAGAGCGTGAGATTTGTTCAAATGCGTGAGTCTCACGGTCAATGCGTGAGAGTTGGCAGGCCTGTGATACTGGTGTATCTGAATAATTACATTAAACTGTGGGGATCAGATGTATGAACTGTGAAACAGATGAGTTTCTGATTTGCATCATACCTATTGCCAATATGTTTCACGTGGCTTTTACAAAAACCAAATAGGTCAACTGTGTGATAAACGAATCAGATAGTGTAGAAACAAGTATATGTGTAATTATAAAAAGATAATTACGTATGCTGTCACTATACCTATGACCGAATGTAAGTGTAACGAGGCATATGCATGCATCGTCGGTATTCTATTTCTTTCCAAATGTACTGATGAATTGATTAGAGATTTGGTCAAATGCGTGAGTCTCACGGTCAATGCGTGAGAGTTGGCAGCCCTGTAAGAATTCACGCTCAGTGTGTGGCAAAGTGAGGTGGTTACTATGGTAACGTGCGATTGCCTCCGCACCATCGTAACCTCAGCGGAAACGCGCAGAATCTTAAGTCAAATTCTAAACAACCGATTACGAATAATTAATTAATTACGTAATTAACGTAAACGCTAATCACGAAGTAAAAAATTAACTCGTCCAATTAATTCGAGGCGCCGCGACACAAAACACGAGGCCTCGTTCTCCCGAACAATCGTCGCTAACGACCCCGCGCCGGCGCCCCCTACTGTCGTTGCTAATCGCGCGTCTGCTTCCCTCGCAGAGCGCACTCATGCACGTCGAACTTGTCAAGCCACCAGGGGGCGGTCTCGGCTTCGTCGTCGCCGGACAGCGAGGTCGGGTCGTCGTCAAGGCGATAACGCCGGGAGGGGTCGCCGAGCGATCCGGGAAGCTGAGGGTCGGAGATCGCGTCCTGCAGGTAAGCGCGACCGCCAGGGGGCGCTACGGTGCCTCGCACTGCGACGCTCCGGGAAGCGACTCTCTCTTGAGATTTTTCTTGGTTATATTTTCCTCGGGATATTTTCCCTGTAATATATTTCACTTGTAATATTTCCCCGTGTTGTTTTCCCTGTGAAGATTTCACTTGCGATATTTCACCTGTGACATTTCCCCCTGTTTTCACGTGCGAGTTGTTCCGACGCATAACGTTGACAGGTTTATATATCGCCTGGCTTATTCTTTTGGGATATTTTTTCCTCCCTTGGCGAATTCCCGCTTGGCACCCGCGTGATGCCGTGCGGTGCTGCCACCTGGTGTGAAACAGCAGGTTTTATCGTCAGCGTTTAATTACTTGTAAGAGGTTGGAGAGAAACAGAGATTATGGGGAGAGAGCGACAGAGGGGGAGAGGGTGTGAGGGGGATTGTTTGAGGGGTAGGTAGGACAGAAAGAGCGATTTTGGGTGAGGGAGGAGGGACAGAGACAGAGAGAGAGAGAGAGAGAGAGAGAGAGAGAGAGAGAGAAAATGAGAGTGAAAGAGAGTGAAAGAGAGAGAGAGAGAGAGAGCGAAAGAGACAGAGAGCGAGAGGGAGAGAGAAACAGAGAGAGAAAATGAGAGTGAAAGAGACAGAGAGCGAGAGAGAGAGAGGCAGACAGAGACAGAGAGAGAGAGAGTGGAGAGCGAGAAAGTAAAGTAAGGAGAGAGAGAGAGAGAGAGAGAGAGAAGAGAGAGAGAGAGAGAAGAGAGCGAGGAGAGAGAGAGATAGAAATGAGAGGAGAGAGAGAGAGCGAGAGAGAGAGAGAGAGATAAGAAATGAAGCGAGAGAGAGAGAGGAGAGCGCACGACGAGAGAGAGAGAGAGAGGAGAGCATAAGAGAGGGAGAGAGATACAGCTGTATTTTTAGCTCATCTGACGAAGTCTTGCGATAGCTTGTAGAATTGCATGATCGTCCGTTGCGTGCGTACGTGCGTCGTCAAAGTTGGGCACCAAATCTACAACGGCTTCGACCATACGGATTCAGAAAGTCGGGGACGTGGGGGAGTAATCCGAATCGAGTGTGGATGTCGGAACCTGGGGTCCAAAGGTCAAGAGGTGTAAAAAGAAGGGACATTTCCTCCTTAACTTAAAGTATAGGGAGGAAAATGCCAGATTGCGGCACATANATAGATAGATAGATAGATAGATAGATAGATAGATAGATAGATAGATAGATAGATAGATAGATAGATAGATAGATAGATAGAACACACACACACACACACACACACACAGAGAATGAGAGAAAGCGTCAGTTAGAATGCGAATTGCGAGCTGCTATTCGCCCCCCCCCCCAGTAACCGTGAAATTAATATCTATCTAGCACACGCACACGCACACGCACACGCACACGCACACGCACACGTGTGCGTGTGCGTCTGCGTGTGCGTGCTGCGTGTGCGTGTGCGTGCTGCGTGTGCGTGTGCGTGTGCGTGTGCGTGTGCGTGTGCATCTGCGTGTGCGTCTGCGTGTGTGTGCGTCTGCGTGTGTGTGCGTCTGCGTGTGCGTGCATGCGTGCGTGCGTGCGTGTGACAGGACATTGCAGCGTTCGGCAAGCTCGACGGAGACTTTCCCTACCCAATCATCGCAGACGAGAAGCGCCAACTGGCGGTGAAGCTGGGCATGGTGGATGCGGTGGAGAGGGATGCTGCAGGGCTTCCTCTCACTGCCGAGCTGTCTTCATCATCGGACCGGATAAGAAGCTGCGTCTCTCCATGCTCTACCCGGCAACCACCGGCCGCAACTTCACGTGAGTACCCGCGCGCTCGCGAGCTTTCGGATCTATGCGCCGCGGATATTACACAATGACCAGTAGCCATGACAGTAGACAGTTAGGTGAGAGATCGCGGATAAATCTTACAGGGAGCGAAGCGTATACCGGAGAATGCTAGCGAAACTTATCACCCTCGCCCCTCCCCCTCCCTTTCCTTTTCCTTCCTTCCTTCATCCTTCCCCTCCCCTCCCTCTCCCTCCCACTCCCCCCTTCCTCCCACTCCCCCTCCCACTCGCCTATTACCGTTGAGTCAGGAACGCTTTGCCGCCCCTTTTGCCGCGAATTTTCTCTGGAATATATGTATTGATGTACAGCCCCCTGACAAGATAACGCGCACGCTGGTGTACTAGAACAGCGAGATCTNTGCGTGCGTATGTGTGTGTGTGCTTGCGTACGTGCGCGCGCGCATGTGTGTGTGTACATTATGCATTATCGTATATAGTATTTATTATTATTTATACAGTTTTAAATAATTATTATTAGTTTTAGCTTTCGCACGGCGTTTCATTTTGATAGGTAGGTATGTCGTCGTAAACTGATGATGATGATGATGATGATGATGATGATGATGATGATGATGATGATGATGATGCTGATAATAACATAGGCATAGCTATGTATAAATATATAAATGTATATGTATATGTATTATTTATATATCAAGAGCGTACAAAGAAGGCCTTCTTTATACGCTCTTGTGTATATATGTATGTATATAGATAGATAGATAGATA